TAAAAAAAATGTTTTTGCAGTCCTACGTGTTCATACGATTATATCACTGCAGTAGCACTGAGAGTATGCAAAGTGAGCTAAGTTAAAAGAAGAAATCGGATCATACAATTTTGTATTTCCACTCATGTCTGGAACTCGAGATATCCTGACTGCTGTTGTTCGTTCTTGAATTAAAATCAAAGCCCGTGTCATTTTATTTTGGAAATGAATCACCACCGCCTTCGGCTATTTCTAAAGTTATTGAAGGCCGATCACAAATATATGATAAAACAACATCCATCCCATGAAAGCACACTTCTTAGGCCATATTAGTTTTGTTTGGGTATTTAAGGCCTTAAGAAGCCGTCAATATTTCAAGATAGAGCCAAAGTTAACCTTCTTGTGCCAGAGTTTGGTTAGCTTGGCCCTAATTTACCAAACGAGTGCGAAAGTTAGGTTTCATCAATGGTAGTTTGACAGTCATATGGCATCTTTGAGCCTAAATCGCCAAATGCCAGACTTCGGCTTTACCCTCGGATGCATGGTGTCATGTGGAAACTTCGGGCCTAAATTTTCAAACATTTTCCTGATTTACGCTTCGCTCCTTGTTCTTTGGGTGACACATGGCATCTCAGGCTGATATTTGTCCCTTTGGCAGTTATGCGGCAAGCTAAAGTAAATCAATAGATACGCCAAGAGTAAAGTTCCCTGGAACTAACCAACGCCTGGGAGAAACCGTCTTAGGCCCTAGTAAGACACCAAGGATAGGCAAGCTCGTACGAAGATAAGCGTTGCTCTGGCGTGCTACCTGATTCAGCATCATATTCCTTCTGTACGTTCTCTTGTTTTTATTTTCGTTTAGTTTTAATTTCGGTTTTATATTATCATAGTTTTGTTTAAGTTCAACATAATAAATGGTGCTAAGAAGAAGGACAGACAGTAAGCAGGACAAGCTCTTGTCCTGTTTGTTTCGTGTCCCAGTTTTTTACATTATTTTTATATGTTTAGCTGAGATGAACCAACAAGCCCAGCGACGTACCTTGCAAGTTTTGTTTATTGTCGAAAGATTAAGCGTGAGGGCAATTGGTCGCCTTTTAGATTAGTTATCGCGCACCGCCACCACAGGACTGGTGTAAAAAACATCATTGTCATTGCTCCTTCATCAAGATTTAAAGTTAGTTACAATACGTTTATATTAGTTTTTAAAATTCCGCTTTTAAAATGTTACTTTCTATTGAAATGCCCAAAATCACGAGATATTAGAAGTTTTATTTTCAAATTCTACATAACTTTCGGTAGATGCCAACCCTGTGTCAGGACTCGAAACATAAACTTTTGATTTCCCCTGTATGATGTTGACTTGTCCCAGAAAACTCCCAGTTTCGGTACACTTAAACGCATTCTACCGCCTAAACAAGGTATCTGTTTTCCCACCTTTCTTTGTAAGGTTAACATTGCGGCTGCAATCTCCTATTGTAATTATAGGTTTTAGCCCATATGCTGCCTAATGTCGTTTCACAAGTGTAAAGAAATATAAACTATTAGGAATTGAGGGAGTAGAAAAAGGACAATTTCTTACAGTTTGACGAAAGTGAAAAGCAACGAAAATAAACGTCGCGGCATCATTTATTTTCACCTTCCTCTTGTGCGGTGTCGAATTGTTATTTTATTTCTACACGTATATATTTTCAGTGCTGGCCGTCGGTTTTCCCGAATTAGGGCATATGGACTACCACGGGCACCATCACACGTTTTCAAGGTGCACAACACGACAAGCAGGAGTTCCCTATATTGTTTGAACCCCGTTTGATCTCCGCAAGTGAGCAGCCTGTTCGACCGCATCGCGTCGACACAAAACGGAGGGACTACGCCGCAACCAGTCGTCTGTGCGGCGCGGGTTCAGGCGCAGGTCGATATCCTCCAGGCAATTCTCAGGACAACGTACCAAGAACCCAGCCAAGCCGGGTGCGTATCGCGAACGATTCCCCGCTGGGCATTGATTTTCACTTGCGACGGCTACCGGGATAGGAGGAGAGTCGAAGATTTGCTATAGGATTCCGGAGTTGCCGGGTGGTGCACCCCGCCCTGTTGTTCTCATATTCTCACCAGTGCCTCTAATACGCGTCTCCTCACGTGAAGTTTACTAATTTTTCTAATTTTAACGTAATTTTACTAAGGTAAGAATTCTAGAGCTTAATATGTTACCAAAAAAAACATTTCGTAAGGACCTTTTTTTACTTGATCATCGGGATGAGCTCTCCTCATAAATAACTAATAATGCGATCATGCACGGGGAGCACTCAGAAATTAAGTGGCGGTCACGCGCAAGTCCCAAAAAATATTTAATTCTGAGTCGCACATGCGCAGTAATGTTCCTTCTCCCCTATTTAGTGGTCATATCTTGACGCAATTGGCTGGCTGAGAATATTGCGGTTCTTGCATTGCATACGTTTAAGTCAATAGAAAGCTTGGCCTTCTGCGAAGTCCTATCTCGCCTACAATATTCGTTTAATGCGACAAATATCAAACCACTGCAGGCCACGAAAAAGCCATAATCAGGTTGCGTAATGTACAAAACAACGGGACTGTTTCAAGTTAAAAAAAAAGTTACAATTAGGGCGTGTGATCGCACATCATATACTGCGTAGCAAGATGTTTTATTTGGACATGGGAGATTTGGCGGAGAATCGAAATCTTTATCTGCGCAACTTGCAGCACATGATTTTGAAGTGTCGAAATCTTTATTTCACAAAATTGTCGCAAAATATTTTAGTCTTTAAAATTATCTTCACTCTGAATGCTGAAAATGTTGCTCCTAGTCTCATGTAAAAAAAAAAAAAAAAAAAAAAAAAAAAAAAAACTGAATATTACAGAAACAAATTACAATGGTACTGAGAGCATCTTTTTGCTTTCAATCGTTATTTATTTTCAGATGCCCTCAGTTTTAATGATAGAGTATAGTCGCTGTGATAGTACGTGGTTCGTGTGTTTAGGGTCTTAATAGAAGTACGGAAGACACAGGATGCGTTAGGAAATATTTCACTATTGTGACATAGACATCAGAAGAAAAGAAAAACCAAATATTTACACTGCGGCAATTTACAGAATGTCATGTACGGGTTGTCTCACAGTTTTCTTTCCTGGTCACATGGAGGGGTAGCGCCGAGGGAGGATGGTGGAGGGCCCGTCGTTGATGGGCTCGGCGGCAGTTGTTAGCCCGGAGCGTCTCGTTCCCGGAGATGTTGGTGAACCCGGTCGCTGGGGTTGTCTTCAGCGCCTCAGGTAGTCCAGTCGGCCTCAGGCAGGCCGGCGCCTTGACCACGAGAGGAGGCGGGGACAGAGTCGGGCTTCTGACGCCTGGTCAGGTCTACCGAGGTCCGAACAGCTGTTCGCAGCTTCGCCTTCCGAGTCCGAGCTGTGCTCGTGCCCTTCTCGAGCTCTCTCTCAAAAACCGCGCCATTCCTCGCGCATCTCTTTTCTTCCTTCCCTTCGTGGTGGATCACCCATCACAATGACCCCCCACCAAAGTTTTTTTTCTCTGTCTTTGTCTTCGTTTGAAGTACAAAAAAAAACGAAAAAAAAAACACTTCACATGGGTAGATCCCGAAGTTCCATTTACACGTTCCGCCGCAGTTCGAACAAAACTTTGTTTGCAGTCCTAATTACAATGTCACACCCTTATTCAAACACACGCACCATTCAAATATTGACAACCACGTGCCCTGTAAGGGTCTTCAGCTCATGTCACACCCGGCTCAAATAATCAGCCCCAACATTCTCTACTCCCTTTATATAGTGTACCCGGAATGTGTATTCTTGTAGAAGCAAACTCCATCTCGTAATTCTACTGTTTGCTGTTTTCATCTTATGTAGATGTTCCAGCGGCTGATGATCCGTTTGGACTATAAATTCTCGCCCGTATAGGTAAACCTGAAACTTTTGGATTGCCCAAACTAACGCTAGGGCCTCTCTCTCAATGGTAGGGTAATTTTTCTCGCTGGGCATCAAGCCCCTACTGGCATACGCAACTGGATGTAGGTACGACGCGTACTCCTGCATCAACACCGCACCAAGACAGCTATCTGACGCGTCTGTCCTAAGCACAAACACTTTCGTCAAGTCCGGCGCCCGGAGAATTGGTCCTACCGAGAGAGCTCGCTGCAATTCTCGAAAAGCTTCTTCGTGCCTACTCGTCCAACGCACCGTGTTGGGTTCCCTTTTCTTCGTGAGCTCAACTAAAGCAAGAGCTCTCTCCGCATAATTTGGAACAAACTGCCGATAATAACCCGTCAGTCCTAAAAATGATCTCACCTGTTTCTTTGTCGCAGGTCGCTTAGAGCCTACTATGTTTTGTAGGGTCTCCGGTAGCGGAGCTAACACACCATGCCCCAATTTGTGACCTAGAAACGTGATTTCTCTCATTCCCAGTTGGCATTTGGTCGGTTTAACAGTCAGTCCTGCTTCGCTAATTCGCCGAAGAACTTGATCGAGCACTTTAAGATGTTCATCCCAAGTGTCAGTGGCGATTCGAATGTCGTCGATGTAATGTTCTACCCCTTTGATACCTGTGAGTACCTTCCTCATTAGTCGCGTAAAGACGGCAGATGCAGTCTTAATCCCAAAAGGCATGTATTTGAAGTGATGCAAACCACTATCGGTAGAAAATGCTGTTTTTCCTTTCGAATCGCTGGCGAGGGGAATCTGCCAGTACCCTTTTGACAAGTCTAGCTTCGAGAAATATTTCTTTTTCCCAACTTCCGCGAACACGTCCTCTATCCGCGGAATGGGTTCGGCATCCGGAATGAGTACGTCGTTTAGACGTCGAAAGTCAATGCAGACGCGATGTGACTTGTCTTGCTTCTTCACTAGGACTAGAGGAGAACGGTATGGTGACGTTGATTGCTCAATCACTTTTAGCGCCATCATTTGTGCCACTTCCTGTTCTATCGTCTCCCTCGTCGCGAGGGGGATTGGGTATTGTGGAGTCTGGATAGGATCGCTTGTTGTCAGCTCAAGCTTGCACTCCAACAGTTCTGTTCGTCCAGGCACCTCAGTAAATATCTCTTCAAATTTTTGTAGAACGCTCTTGACGCCCATATTCTTTCTCTCGCTGAGGTCTTCGGCCACCACCACATCATCGATTCCCTGGGAAGGCCTGACGTCCATACACGGTATGCCTTGCTCCGCTTCCCCCTCCTCGATAGCTATTATTGAGCACGCCTGATTCTTAACCTCGGTATCCCTCTCTCGCTCCTCATACTTTTTTTAACATATTAATATGAAATACCTTCGTAGTATGGCCTAAATCTATGACGTAGTCGACTTCTTTTATTTTTCCTACTACTTTGTAGGGACCCTTCCAGTGCACGAGAAGCTTGTTCTTCTTGGCCGGTACCAATAGCAGTGCACTATCTCCTACTTTTAAAAGTCGTCTTCCTGCCTTTTTGTCGTACATCTTCTTCTGGTGTTTGCTGGCGGCTGCCAAGCTCTGATGTGCCAGTTCTGTGGTTTCTTCAAGGCAATCCCGCAGGTCCAAAACATAAGAGTATGTTGTTTTAAGATCTCGTCCTAGCTCCTCATCCGTCCAGATCTCTTTTAATGTCGTCAATGGTCCCCGAACATGCCTCCCATAGATCAATTCAAATGGAGAGAAACCTAGGCTCGCCTGGGGGAATTCTCGATAGGCAAACAGAAGTGGGGCGAGATACTTATCCCATGATCGGGGCTTCTCCTGGCACATCTTGCACAACATCTGCTTCAAAGTACCGTTGTACATCTCCACTAAACCGTTACAAATGGGGTGGTACGGAGTCGTCAGCAGCAGTTGGGCGGACATCATTCGAGTGAGCTCCCGCATGAGCCCCGATGTGAAGCTCGTCCCACGATCAGACAAAATCTGTCTGGGGAGGCCCACGCGGGAAAAGATCTCCAATAGGCCTTCCGCTACTGTGTGAGAGTCACAGGATGGTAGCGCTACCGCATCAGGGTATCTCGTCGCGAAATCTACCATAGTTAGAATGTAGCGGTTCTTTTTTTCGGAGCTCGTAGGAAGCGGACCTATCAAGTCAATAGCCACCCTTTCAAATGGAGTATTAATGATTGGCATTCGGCCGAGGGGCGCCCTGTTGACCGTTCCCTTAGGAGTGGCCCTCTGACATGCACCACATGATTTCACGTATCTTTTAATGTCGGCCTGGACTCCTGGCCAATAGAAGGCCTCTAGTACCCTGTCAGTGGTACGCTTATTCCCTGATGGCCAGCCATTACGCTGTCGTGTGCTACCTCCATGACGTACGTTCTCAGGGCGGCTGGGACGATTACTTGCTTAAACACCTTACCTCTTTTCTGTTCATAACGTCGACATAGTACTCCTTTCGAGACATAAAAGCTGTATGTTGATCCATCCTTCGCGTGGTGTATCTCTCCGATTTTGTTCCGACAACTCTCCAACTTGCGATCGCATCGCTGATATTCCTTTAGGACTTCGGTGGTGACCTCCTGCCTTTTCATTTCCTTAGATGTGCCCTTTTTGTTCGAGGGCTTCAGTTTATCTGCAGCTGACACGTCAGTCGTTGCTGCAGTGCCTATCGAGGCATCTTCCTTTTCAGGTTCTTGTGAGGCCTGCTGGACCGTTTTGTTTTTCCATTCGAAGTCCGGCTCATCGACTCCTCGTGCACCCTGAATATTCCCCACAATCACATCATAGAGAGGTGTATCCATGCACTTCACGATCAATTCCCCAACAAAGTATGGAGAACGCAGCATTATTTTTGCCTTCGGCAGCTGCAATGATGTGCCATCTACGAGAAAAACCTTTCCTGTCTTTCCCGTGAGACAAGAATCTTTCACCAAGTCGCGTCGAACTATCACTGTATTGCTACCAGTGTCACGTAGCACGCTGACTGGCTGTTGATTAAGTAACCCCCGTAAGACGGGCATGTTATATACGTCGAATACCTCGTGGTTCTCGTGAACCACGTTAACTAGCCCTGCCTCGCAATCCTTTGTGGATCCAAGACCTGATCCCTCTACAAAGTTTCCAGGTGGAGTTTGCGTGCTTTCTACTGATTCTGGCTCCACCATACACAGGATTCGTGGATTTTTTTGTTTCTTGGGGCAGTCTCTTACATCATGCCCTTCTCTTTGGCAAAACGAACAGGATGGAATTGTTTGCCGGAAACTACTTCTGCACTCTCGTGCTTTGTGACCGAGCTTGCCACACAGGAAACATTTAGGTTTCGCGAACGCCGGCGCATCGAGGTTAGGTCTCTGAGTTGACGTGGCTCTTGCATCGTCTCTAAAGGAGGAGATGTTCTTTTGTTGTTGCGCCTCAAGAAATCGATCGGCGGCCTCAACCATTGATGCTAGCGTCTAGCACTTTCTCTCTTTCAAAAATATAGTAAGTTTTGTGTGACACTGAGATAAGAACTGTTCTGCCAGGATCTTATCTCTCAGCGCTTCGTACGTTGAGGGTTTCTCCCCCACCTCCATTCACCTATCGAAGTATCATTGAAGCCGGGCAGTGTACTGGCTGGCTGTCTCTCCTTCTTCGGGTTTCGATTTCCTGAACTTCTCTCGATACCCCTCAGTTGTAAAACGGAATCTATCCAGGAGAGCTCGCTTGGTCGCTTCATAACTCATAGAATCCCGAGGCGATAGTCTGCCGTAGACTTTCAACGCCTCTCCCGTCAGGCACATGCTTAGAGCAGTAGCCCATTTAGGTTCTGGCCAGTCTTCGCCCTTAGCAATGCATTCAAAACGCTTCAAGTAGGCGTCTAAATCGTCTCGCCTTTCATCGTATGGAGGAATAAATTTCCGGGGACAAAGGTGGCTGGAGTTTGTTCTTCCGTTATTGCTGCCCTCTGTTGTGATCTCGGCAGTAGCTGTCGCTCCCGTCTCAGCTAGCCTTATGCGTAACTGTAATGTTCGTTCTTCCACTTCAGCCTTTTCTCGGTTTGCTACTCTATCCGCAGCCCTTTCCTCCCTCTCACGCGCCTTCTCTTCGCGTTCGTAAGCGACTTTCTCGTCCGCCCATTCTTTAAGTTCAACACCTTGTAGGCCTAGCTGCTTACCTAGCTCTATAATTTCTTTGAGATCCATAGCTTAATGATTATTTCCAAACGATCCAATGTGTCCTCCGTCCTGTCGCGGACGCCAATTGTGATAGTACGTGGTTCGTGTGTTTAGGGTCTTAATAGAAGTACGGAAGACACAGGATGCGTTAGGAAATATTTCACTATTGTGACATAGACATCAGAAGAAAAGAAAAACCAAATATTTACACTGCGGCTATTTACAGAATGTCATTGTACGGGTTGTCTCACAGTTTTCTTTCCTGGTCACATGGAGGGGTAGCGCCGAGGGAGGATGGTGGAGGGCCCGTCGTTGATGGGCTCGGCGGCAGTTGTTAGCCCGGAGCGTCTCGTTCCCGGAGATGTTGGTGAACCCGGTCGCTGGGGTTGTCTTCAGCGCCTCAGGTAGTCCAGTCGGCCTCAGGCAGGCCGGCGCCTTGACCACAAGAGGAGGCGGGGACAGAGTCGGGCCCCTGACGCCTGGTCACGTCTACCGAGGTCCGAACAGCTGTCCGCAGCTTCGCCTTCCGAGTCCGAGCTGTGCTCGTGCCCTTCTCGAGCTCTCTCTCAAAAACCGCGCCATTCCTCGCGCATCTCTTTTCTTCCTTCTCTTCGTGGTGGATCACCCATCACATCGCTGACACACAATTACCGTCCGGCAATTATGAGATGCGATCGAAAGTTTGACAAGACAATTTGGAGACGCACGACTATTCCAGAAGGAGCATTTTTCGAAGCTTCGTGATCTTCAAGCTGTTACCTCCTCAGCCGACACAAAGGGATTGAGAAGGCTTTGTGGTCAAGTGCAAGCCCACGTACGAGGTCTTCGAGAACTTGGAGTCTCATCTTACACGTATTCGACCATGCTGACAGATATTGTCATCAGTGCACTTCCGTCTGACATCATGGTCCACTATTACCGACGTGCTGGTCACTCCGAAAGGAGGGCTGTCTTGCACGATGGAGGAGACATGACCTCGACACTATTTCTACCAACGTCACTGGAAGAACGGTCTTCCTCATCCTGTACTGCGAGCAATGCTGCCCTGGCCGCGAGACCAACAGAACGAGCTGAAGATATCCCAACAGCCCAACGTCCTTCGGAAGATGAATTGGAAACCCTGTTGGAATGCCTACTCATCGAGATCGAGAGCAGAGAACCATCTGGAGTCATCGATGATCGCCCGCAGAAGAGTTTAGCCGAGAGCAACAACAGAAACGAGCTTTCTAACCATCCTCTTCGGTTCTGCATGCCAAGGCACAAGACACAAAGAAGTGCTTCTTTTGCGGAGCCACGAACCACGATACAGAGCTCTGTACCAGTGACATCTCTTTGAAGGAGAAGAAAGCGAAGCTTGCTGGGGAAATGCGATGTTTCCGGTGCACACTAAGAGGACACAGATCAAAGGATTGTCACAGGAAGTTGTCCTGCACTACCTGCACAGGACGACACGCAACATCAGTGTGTGATCCCGCTTAGAAACCTTCATCGGGTAGCAGCGAAAACCAAGCCATCACTACTAGCAAATACCATGGAAGCCAATACTGGCAACTCCCGCGGAAAACGGGCGAAAAGTGATTGCAGCGCCCCTGGCGAGCTCGGAGTCTCCGCTGGCAGACAAATTCTCCGAAATGCATTGGTTTTGCCTATTTCCGTGCGAGGTGACCAACGAAAAAAATTTGTCACGGACATTCGCTGCTTTGAAAGTTAAAAAATGGGTGCCAGCTCATGAGTGAAGGACATTCTCTTCGCGTGGGAAAGATGTTACAGCTTTCTGGGAGCAATTTCGGAGTTCTCCCGAAGAAAACATTCTGTCACAACTTATGTAAGCCAAGCAAAACACGAATGGATGCCTTTGCGCTGTTTCGTGAAAAAGGGAAATGTACAAACATTTCAGAACATAGCTTCGTTTCAACTTTATTGTTCTTTCAGTCAATTCGTTTTGTCGTTGCAATTCCCATTTCTCATGAGTGTCTTGCTTATAACCGTTTCGTCGAACAAGCGAGCTGGCTAATCCCGTTAAGATCGTCTCCGGATGAAGAAGCAGAAGTCAATTTCGAACCACGTACGTTACGGCGATGTCAGTATGCTCCGAAAGAAGGCGTTGTGCATATGCAAATCTGACGCGATTATAGATTAACAAAAGCGGAGTTACGAAAAAAGCAGACTTCTCGCGCTTGCAAAGAAAGAAGGGGAGAGCGTCGTAGCCCCGCGAAAAAAGATGATTTCAGTCACGTTATTTACAGCGCACAAATTCCGATTGTTAGCGCGGGGACGACCAACATCTTCTGCTTCGCTGCTTCTTTACTTCTACGATAAAGGCCGACAGCCGTTGAACCGTCTCCACTCTTTCCATTTTTCAGTCTTCTTTCTTTTATATTTTTGAGGCGACGCCACTCTGCCGCGTTATTTCTTCCTCCTGCTTATATGTTGCTGTGTATAGTTTTTGTTTGCTTTTTTCCCCCCGATGCGTAAACAATCGCATATCCTTGCTTTGTTTGGCTTAGTTTTTACTCCCTTTCCTTCGCTTCGGCGCTTACTACTCCCGGTTCGCCTGCGCTAGGCCCGGGCATTTTGAGGGCCGTCTGCAACTTTGCTCTTGTTGTTGTTGTTTTCTGCCACTGTCGTCTGCGATAACCTCCTATTTTCGCCTTCGATTGAGTTTGTAATCCAAAATCGTCCTACGTGCTTTTTGATATTTATTAAATATATTAAGAAGTGTAAGCTCGTTACCCATTTTTATTCGAATTTTATTTGTGTACT